AATCACCTCCCTATCCTCCATGTGCCTTAGCATAGCTTCCAGGAGGATCTGTTCCATGATCTTCCCGGCACAGAGGTGAGACTGACTGGCCTGTAGTTCCCCGGGTCTTCCTTTTTTCCCCTTTTTAAAAATGGGGGTTATGTTTCCCCTTTTCTAGTCAGTGGGAACTTCACCGGACTGCCACGACTTCTCAAACACAATGGATAGTGGCTTAGCAACTTCATCCGCCAGTTCCTTCAGGACCCGTGGATGGATCTCATCGGGTCCCATGGACTTGTGCACCTTCTCTTCTGTCTTAGACAGCTCTATGTCATTAAGAGCACTTAGTAGTAAACCTTGTTGAAAATCCAAGAGCACAAGTAGAACCAGATCAGCCTCGGGAGGTGGCTATGATCCAAAATTAGTTTGAATTCTCACAAGAGGTAAAGTTAATTAAGCAATTAGCTTCCTAACTGGTCAATTTTAATCACCTGATGAGGCTGGTAAGGGGGAGGGGTATCACTTAATAGGATGGTCTTAGGTTATAAAGTAACCAACACTTTAGGGAATGGTAAACAAGAAAAGGACATCTGAGAGACTCTCTTGCCCTACAAGAAAGAATAGGTGTCTTGAACTCCTGAGATAATCTGAAGATTAACACAAAGCACGACAACGCATTCAGGTATTTTGTTCATATGTGTAAGGGTATATTAGATAAAAATAGAGCTTCATCTTCAGCCTTCTACATGTCTGTGTGCTTCTATCATTGCTTGTTACTGCAGAGTTGAGTTATAACCCCCCAAAACAGCCCAAGAAAAATAATGTGTAAGCTACTGTGTTGGAAGAAAAATGGCTGCGCTGTGATAACTTGTGATCATGAAATAAAGATATGGAACCTAAGTCCAGGAAGAGCACTGCAAGAAGCTCAGGGAAAGGACAATGCTATGGAATCTTATCAGCATGCTGGCCTAAAAAGTCTAGCACAGGCACATAAGCCTAAGGAATCCCTTACTAGGAGATTCCCGCTAAGGGATCAGCCCATTCTGTAACAGGGCCTATTTAGTATCTACATCTACTTCCTTTGAAAACTGTAACTGTTCTGTGAGTTTGACACTGCTAGCATGCTCTGCAATAACTTATTTAGCATATTAAGGAGGCATTCAGAGTGTTCTGAATAGTCAATATCAAATGTAAAAAGCAAAAATCAATCCAGAGTATTTTCATTTCATCATTAAAGTTACAGAAACAATTCTCGATACTCAAATGCATGCCCTTGGTCCACAAGACCTGATTACTAGACACCAGTAATAACTCTTCTTGAGTTACCTTGAGTTTATTTGGTGTAAGCTTCCAATGCAGTACAAAGCAATTTCGTTTCAGAAACTTTTCAGAACTATAAAAAAAGATATCTGAGGATCTGTTTTGGCAGACAAACCTGCGCAGAGTTACATGAGGTTAGAAATCAAACTATTTCTGTGTTGGCATGCTTGTTGACATCAAGCTGTTAGATTAAAAGAAGAGGTTTTGGGCATTTTATACTACTGCAGTGAATCTCTGACTTCATGCTTGCTTTGGCATTGTAAGAAACTACATAAACCCACTTTTATCACACCAGAGCCAAGAAGACAGATGTGCATCATGCCTTTAGCTTCGCTGGCAAATGCTGCAATCCCCTTTCCTCCTCTATTTCTAGGACAAACATAAACACACCATTTGGAGTGGGAAAGTACCTGGAGGATTCTCATTCAAGCACTGTAGCTGAAACATTACTTCATTTAAGCCACTTACTAAGATCCACAGCAAGATCTGAGGAAAGGCTTTTTCCTCTAAAGGCAGAATCTGTGCAAAAGACTGAAGCTCATCTTTTTGGAAATAAAATTAGCATCGTGTATTTCTATTTCCCCAGTGAAATGAGTCAAATGTTATGCACATACTCAACATATGTAACCATTCAAATGTCTTCCTACAAAGGTGGAAATCGAGATAAAAATTCATTTTTCCCCATGATTATTCATATGTGACCTTATCTTCCTCTAGGACTACATAAAGAAGAAAAACCTTCTTTTCCTTTTCCCTTAACTTAAGGGCTTTAGAACTTTCCTTGGAATTTCTACAGAAACTCTTCCTTTTTTCCCCAGGAGAACCCATTTCTAACAGTCAGGAAGTAAGAATAACAGTACTTAACCATGGGAGGAAACCTACCTGCTCCAATTTCATTTCCAACGCTTGGAATAATATCATCATCTAGACAATCTGGTAAGCCTCCTCTCTCTAGTTTTTCTTCAATTTTGCTTATTGTCTTTGCTAAAGAAAAATCTATGCAATCCTCCAGTACTGCAACATCATCAGCACTTTGTACTTCCAGGTTTCTTATTTTTGTTGTCTTTGCAAGAAAAATCTATGCAATCCTCCAGTACTGCAACATCATCAGCACTTTGTACTTCCAGGTGTTTGAACTAAAAAAAAAGCAAACCCTAGATTTTAAATTTTAAATTTAAAAAAAAAATTACAAAAATATAGCAAATTTGCTATTTTTAAGAGTATACAGTTATTTTCCTAATGCAACTTCATTGCTCGCATTCATATGAAAGATGCATTGATGGCAATTTCTCATTTTCTTTATGTAAGATACCTTTATCGTATTCCACATAAACAATTACAGGATTTTACATATTATAATGTAGGAGGCAGAGAAACAGTACCATTTTCTACTGAAAAGATTTTTGGCATGGTCTTCTCGTTCAACAGCTTCATAACTAAATCAGAGTAAAAGAAAGAAACAGAGGAATGTTCTCTTGGCTTTCACTACTAGCCTCTGCCTTAAATTCTGCTATTTTTCCCCCCTGCATGTTAACTTTTCTAGAGCTCTGTCCTCTCTAGCTATACTCCTACCTTACTACCACAATTTCTGTAGCATTATGCCTGGCCTAGGAAACTTCACTGATCCTAGAAGTTGCATACCAAAGTTGTCATAAAACCAAAAACAAGGTATGTGACATCTGCTACATAGGGTATCTCCTCAGCTTTCTTTTATAAAAAGATAACATTAGTTGCCACTGGATTTGAAGCTCCTAAGTTCTTATTCCAATATATCCTCATCCCAATGCAGGCTCCAAACTCCTAGCTGCTAACTTTGTCCCACAACTTTGGGTTCACTCTGCTGGTCCTGTATCTGCACTTCTAAACCTCATGATGTGGTGCCAGCATGACAGCCTCCCCTGAACTGCCCAAGGGAGGTCCAAAGGGTCCACAAGTGACTCCCAAGTCCTGAAAGACAACCTCAGCCTGTGTCAGTTCCATGTTCTGCCACGTTGCAGACCATTTTCATCCTATTTTGGTGTTTGTGGCAGTTTTAATTTGCTCCCAGGATCTTATGCATTTGTCTACTCTTTTCTTTTGTCCAGATCTCCATTTCTTGCTTTTACAACCTTGAATTTGCTATCTACAGAGCTGAAGCTTTTCAGCTTGAAACCCCTGAAAGCTGTGGTACTATTACTGACTCTCCCTTGTCCTGTGAGCCCAAGATTCACCAAAATAGGGGAGACCCTCGAGGGCCTCATCTTTCCCATCACAAGTCTGATCACAAATCGCTCTGCATCACCTAAGTGTGCTCTCTTATGTTGCCTCAGATGATGTATTTCCCACATGTATGCTCATTACGCATCCTTTCACTGAAGGAGTTAACAGTTTAACTGCCAGCCTTGAGAAGTGCTTGAGCAGAAAGCAACAGTTTCATTGTTGTAATATTAATCACATACGTTCACTAATACGTTTTGGTGCTCTATGCAAGTAAACAGAGATAGCTATGTGGTGGAGCTGACTGAGGAGGATCAAAAGTTTGATACATTTATTTATACAAATATATATATAAATGTAGAAACATACATGAATAAAAGCAACCTGATAGACAAAAATAGCAACTAAAAATATTTTATTACAAACAAAAAGATGTGTATAATATACCTTAAAGTTGTTCTTTTTCCCTTACTTCCAGAGTACGGTCTGTTCTGAGCCGTGGGCATGGAAGCACATTTCTTCTTGTTTGCTAGCTACAAATTTTTTTCAGAAAGCAGTGATTTTTTTAAATTAGTTAGGAATTACTTTTTTCTATTGTGTTTTTTTTTTTTGGTGGGGGGGGTCATTCATATATTCGGACTCAAGGATACTTTTCAAAGTATGCTTTTCAAACTTTCAAAAGCACAATTTTCCAGTTTTATTTGCACTCATCTTTATCTTGCAAATTTCATGTCCGTATGCCCAAATTATAGTACATCCAATAGTCATTTGCTTGTGGTATTTTTTGCATACATACTTATAATTTATGCATAAGCAAGGCTCTCGGCTATTATCAAGATATTAGCTACTGGACTGTCAACAGAGTGCATTTCTTTGAAAAATGCTTATCATACCTTCAAAAACATGCTATTTTTATGCATTATTTTAATCTTATAAAGTCCCTGTAGAAGGAAGATCTAACAAATTTTAATCTTAAAGTCCCTGTAGAAGGAAGATCTAACAATATATTTGTTACTTTCACTCAAATTCTTCAAAAATTAGGCTTTTTTTCTACTGTATTCTGATAAATAACTGAAGACAGTATTTTGGAAGCTTTAGCTCACCTCCTAAAAGATTCAATGTAATTGCAATTAGAGACTATTGAGTTTGTTTCTAATCTCAGTTTCCTTTCTCCATTATATTTCCCTTCCTGTATTCAGTTATTTTGACTGCTTGTTTATTATTACATCTAGAAGACAGCAGTACTGCCTTTAGTATTATACTGGTAGAGAAGGGAAGGGGATAAAGGAAGAAATGAATTATGTTCTATTATTTTGCTCTTAATTTGATGTTCAAAACACTGAACACTTCTGTCAATGCTTTACAGATGAGGAAACTTAGAACACAAAAATTAAACGTGATGTAAGTCCATTTAACCACCAGTGGCACTGAGAAAGCCTGGTAACACTGTCCCTGTAGCACTGCTTTGAACATCATTTCCTTTTGGCTTCCCACCCATGCAAGTCCCCAGTGTAGCACAGCCTCAAAACCAGAATATGGGGAAATTATACTAGCAAAAGAAATTAAACAGGATAGTTTTGACTTTGATACCTTGGCATGTGAGTGTGTAAGAGATGAAACTTCAGGACAGAGTGGACCTCTGCAGAAAAAAAAAAAATTCACTGAACATGTATAACAAAATAAACATTTTACAATAAAAATTCAACCCCCCGGTCAGAATCAGGAGAATAACATTTTATATGTCTAGAATAAACAATATAGCTAAGGTGGGAACATATACTAAGCTCAATCATAAATTCAGTCTCATTCTCTGTCTTTCTATTCTACCTTATTTGCTATCTAAATCACCTGGTGAGTCTAGGGTATCTAACACAAGAGTTTACTTACGTACCAGAATCTGAATCTCGCCTCTTGCAATTCAGGCAATTGCTGCAACTACTGGCTTATTAGATCAATGATTCCCTGTACCAGGGCGTACTTGGCCAGTATGCAGAATGTTATCAGCTTCAACAAGAGAGACTGACAATCCATTACCAAAGATCACCAACAGCTCAGCGGTTAATACGCCTACCTGACATACAAATCCCTGAATTAATACAAAGAAAATGAAGATATAAACCAGTGTCCCCTACATACTAAGAGGGAGTGCAATTATATGCTCAGATTGACTGTTGTCAAGTCAACTGACAGAGACTATCAAGTGAATATGAGGTGGGAGCAATTTATAAATTAAGCCTCACAGAATTTTCTCTGAAATACATATTACAAATACTGTATCCATTTTACAGATGAAAAAAATGGGAATAAAAAAACAGCTTTCTTATCTGCTTATTTGGCTGAAAACCATGCTTCTTAGTAACTGAACTTCAGGTTAAATGATTATTTTTAAAATTTGTTGGAAACAAGCAGAAAGTTTTAGCATGCTGTGTACTATTGAGGTCAAGTTTCTTGTCGTATGTATAACTTTTTTGCTTTCAGAATGAGTTATGCGAATCTGTGTTATCGCACTGAAAGGCTACTTCTTTTACTACCCTTTATAATTTTTTACTTCAATTAAAATGCTGGCTTATAAAAGATTTGGAATAAAATCTAAATTTCAGGTACATCGTCACCTCTATTTTTTTGCCCAGCTGATTTGAGCAAATGTTTAGATCTTGCCTTTAAAAATTTCAGACATCCATTCATCAACAAGAATTATCTGCACAGTGCTCCAGATTTTATAAATAAAAAAAAAAAACAAACCCTGGAGAAATCTTCTGTGTGTGGTTGGCAACAGACTTCAAGAATAGGATGATTAGTTTTTGTCTATTTACCCTATTTTCCTCATGCTTCCTTCCTATTGGCTAGCTTTAGGAGCCTGCAGAAGGTGAGGATTTGCTGCCACAGAAATAGCAGTTATATGTTATTCTGAAAAATATGAAAATACAACACTTTCTATACTCAAGAAAACAATAATGTTCTTTCCATCAATAGACTAATTTGTTTCTACTATATCTGTTGTCTCAGGGCCTTTTTCAAAAAACAAAGCAAAACAAAAAAAATCACCTCATTGTTCACTAAATTCCTCAAACTTGTTTAACCTTAATAGTTAAATCTTTCCTCTTCCCCATACATGACAACGCATTCTTAAAACCTCATAATACAGTTCTACAGTTGTTTGGTAAGTGAAATTAATGTGTAAATCCTGAAAAGGTATACAAATAAGTAGCTAGAGGATTGTGGCAACACTGAAACAGAAGCTAATGTTTAACAATTCCATCTCTGCATGTAAACATGAGATGCGTGCGCATGAGCAAACTCTTTGTGTTTGCTAATCCTATTCAAAGCCTATACCATGCTTGCCCATGCGCGTACAGTTCCCATAGCCATAAGCCTGGCAATGGTCTGAAGGGTGAAAGTGTAAACAAAAGCTGATTTCAGTGCGATGTCACTGGAGCTGCTTTGCCGCTATGTAACTCAAGCTTCTCTGCAAAAATTATCCTATAAAAACTCCAGAACAACTTATTTTAAAATATACACTGACCTGGAGAGTGACTTAAATATTTGTTGCCTTTTTTTTTTTTTTTTTTTACTTTGCTTACTCATTTTTTTTCTTTTAACCTGTCTTTTTTTCTTTTCCCCTGATACTACCTCTTTCTTTGCTTCAATTTCTCCCCTTCTTTCCAGCTGCTTTAGCATTCATTCTCCTTAAAGGAATCAATGGAAATTTCAAATGGATATTTCAAAAGTATCTCAAGTGCTTCCTTTAGATTTACGGCCTATCTGCTTGCACAACTTTGAAAGAAAAAAAGTTTTTAATTAAATACTTGTAACTAATCTAATTGAATGGCCTCAGTGTTCACTCATGGATAATCAGTGTGCCTAATTCCTAGCACGCATCTCTAGTTTTTTTCACTACAGCATGGGATTTCAATTCTTCCCTCACATAAATGTTTACCAGAACACAGACTGTGGTTGTTTTAAGGTGTTTTAATTTATGTAGGTAATTGGTAGATCAGCTGCTACTCTGACATGCTAATTGCCAATATTTTTTTCTAATTCTTCCAGCACTCCCATTTCAAATGTATTACCATCAAAGCTGTTAACTCCCTTTGCGGGGCTGAATCCTCCAATCATGTTACTTCATAAAACAGCCCTATAACTCAACTCCAGTTCGAAGTTCTTAAAAATCTTCTGCCTACTGTTCCAAATCCATCTAACAGAACATAAAACTAGAACAAGATCCAGAATTTGTTTGCAAAGCATGATTATACTGATAACACATGGAGTTTCCCCCCCCGAACTGACAGATATGGCTTTAAAATAGCTCAGGAATAATTTTAACTATAGTAGCAAACTTTCACTGGTATAGCCAGGCTTCTATCACAGACTTCTTATCAGACCTTTTTGTGTACTGAAAAAACCTTTTATGTTCATAAAAAAACCCTCGCTTTTTGTTTTCGCTTTTACTCTGCACAAAAGTAATTATCTGATCATCTCTAGCAGACTTTCATATATACTATTTCAAAACAGTTTCCCAACTGCAGCTAACATTTGAAGCACCTTGTAGTCTGGCCCTGTATCTTTGTTATCCAGATCAGTGGCATCACAAATTTAGGAACCTACCAGATCAGATCCTTGATAAACTGTGTATTAGTCTATCTTAAATTCAGCCATTTCCTGTATTATCAATGTACAAACCCTTGAACAACTAAGTAAATACGGCTATGCATCCGCTCTAGAGCTAATGGGTTTGAACATATAGGCCAAAACCCACAGTCATACGTATGTTCATACAGGCCAAAGGTATGTGTCGGCCTCAGAAGTGTAATGATATCCAGGTTCCAGGGGGTGGCGGCTGAATGTTTGTCTGCCTTAGGTTTTTGTTTGTTTGGTTTTTTTAACAAGCACTTCCTGTCCCAGGAACATTTAGGCCAAGTTAAATGTGCACCAGTATCTACTTCTTTGCTTTGTCAGCTGAACTGGTTAAAAAACATCTACTGCTGAGTGTCTGCTGTTTTGTACTGCGAAGAAACCTGTTACCTTACCTTGCTTTTTTACAGATGTCAGCACTACTTAGCATCCTAGATAGAACATTTCACCAAAATTAAGACTTCCTCAAAATAACAAGGAACAACACTTACTTAGTATCAATTGTTTCAAATAATAGGAAAAAAATTTAGACTCCACCAATCTAGTATGCTGCAAAGATAGGTAAAACAGGAGCATGACGAGGGCACAAGTCAGGGTGTGCAGGATCAGTGTGAAAGATTCCCCACGAATTGTATGCAGCAGTTGTAAAGCACATACCTCTGTCTGTCCTCTTCACGTGACTTGATCTGTACTGAAACTGGTCTAGATAGTATCTCCTGTTGGCCTTTCTTTATTTAAAAAAAAAAGTAGTCAATTTGGGGGGAATATAATCCATTAAAGATTAATTACATATTTCTAAATCACAGATCACAACAACTATTGTCTACTATGGAAAATAATGGAAACTATAGTCTACTGTGGAAAAGAACTTCTCAAACGCAGGAAAAGATGGCTAAAAATTAAAATGCCATTGCTATCCCCCAACATTTATTTCTGCTCCACAACATGTAATTGCCTTTTGCCTATAAAACTTTTCCCCAGCTTAATATCATCTGAGATGCTATTACCCTCCGTCCTTTTCCTCTGAAATATAGGAGTAGCAAATGCACAGCAGGTGGAACAAATTTTCCATTTCCCATACTGCACAATAAGCATTAAAAATAAATCTTTATTCATGCAATATGACCATAATTGGACACTGATATGTTGTATGTACTTTAAAGAACAATTCAGTCCGAATGTTCAGATAGCTTCTATGTTGCTAAGTTACAGTTAGAAAGCATCCTCCAGAACAAAATGCAGTTGTCCTGTTTGGCATTTGTTGGGGGTTTGGGGGGTTTTTTGGTTGTTTTTTTTTGTTGTTTTTTTAAAACTTAATTGTTTTTCTTTTGTTGTTAAATGTATATCTGTGCAATCTGGCAGTGCCATGTGGTATATTAAGTGTCCTAAGAATATTTGATCTTCTGCTGTATTTAGAGAAGGAAAAAAAAAAAAAGTGGTTTTGTTGTTGCTGTTTTTTAAAGGAAAGAGACTAGATGCTATTTTGGATGCTTCATCTGCCAAGCAGTTAGCCTCAGCTTACCACAGCTCAAGAGAAGCGTATGTTTCCACAGGACATAAAAATGAAGTTTCAACAGTAGGAAAAGTGCATATAAGTATAGCTTTCCAGAAGACTTAATAATTCGCTTTTTAAGCCTTATTTATTTGAGTGAGTGCACTTACAATGAATGTATCTAATATGCAGAACACCTTCTCCAAACTGTTTTGGGTATAAACCATACCTCCCCTGTTCCCTTTTTTAATTTGTCCAATTTTCATATAAAAACTTGACTCTGTCTGGTACACAGCCACACCAATATTAAAAGATAATACTGACAACAAACAGGAAATCTTTCTATTTTAAGAAAGTTTCCTTCTTAGGAACTACATATTTTCTATTTATGTTGCTTATTCTTTGTTTTTCTTTCAGCTTGAATAATGTAGATCCTGTTTCACTAGGATGTTATTGCAACAGTATCTGGTTTTCAAATACTAATTTATTTATTTAAGACATAAAACCACCTACAGATACTTTTCTTAAACATCCTACACAAGTTTTTTATGTGGTTTTATGTATATGTCTGCACAAATGCTCTACACATCTATGTGAACATCTACCTACCTGATGAAATTATATAAAAACTACTTTTGGATGTGTGTTTAGTAGAAGTTTACAATTTTGAAAAAAATAAATTAAAAGCTTAGATTGCATTTGAAATCAAAATACTTTTAGTTGTCATGGTCTAAATAATTTCTTTTGAAACTTGACCCTGTGTGCATGTGAACCAAGGCTAAGTAATGTAACAGTCTGTATAACCTACTCACCATTACTTCTTCAGCCTGACGCACCAGTTTTTCTGTTTTTGCTTCTAATTCTGCATTCAGTCGCCTGCAAGAGTAATAAAAATGCTTGTCACTCAGTTTTTGAAAGCTTTAAAAGAAATAAATACAAGCATGACAGTATCTCTGCCTGACCTAAGTGAAATTTTAATAAATCCTACAAAGGATTGAAATATACTTCAGGGTATTAACAAAGTTACGTTTCAACAATTTCCTGGGTTTCTGTCAAATCAATAGTTAATAAAACACCTATACCCATTAAACAGTAAGGTTTAGACTCTAATTCTGAGTGGTAAAGGGTGTCCTTGTTTTTGGCCATGTCATTCCTTAATACACATTTTTACGTCTTTATTTCCTCAACGCTTTCTGGTTTTAACAGTCCATACCTTACATATACTTAGCAGCAGGGGTTGGACAAAGAATCATGTATGTGTCACTATACATATGTACAGGTTAAAATAAGCTTGTGTTCTTGCATGCTTCACCTTATAGCTTTTCATGCAGTGTGACTGAGTGTCTGAGACATGGCTCCTTGTACATCCTCACCATTCACAGGGGCTGAGAACTGATGGGTAACAGAGCGAGTGCTTTTAAATGTGCTTTCATTGCATTTGTCACAAGCTTTAGAGCTTTTAAGCTTTTTTTTTTTTAACAGGCTTAAGCACTTATATATTCATAATTTATAAGTAATGTCAGTGTTTTAAATGCAGAAAAATCTTACGTCTAATGCTGTGGGATCGAAGCGAGGCCTAGAGCAGTGCACAGCCCTGAGATGCCTGTGTGAAACGGCGGCAGGAGGGCTGTACCGTGCCGAAAGAAAATTAAAACATTGCTTTTGGTGCTCTCATCTGTACGCTTTGGAGGAACTAGTTGAGGGACTCGGATACAGCGGATTAACTGTAACCTCCGTTAGGACAGCCAGCAGCGAGCAGGGTAACGCTGAGGTGACAAAGCCTGGCCGCCGACCCCGGCCGCCTCCTTACTTGTACTCCTCCTCCTTGGCCAGCAAGTCGCCGCTCACCACACCGGTCCCCGTCGCGGCGGGCGGCAGGGAGCCGCCGGGCGGTCTCCGCACCTGCAGCGAGGACGAGT